GTTTGATTAAGGAGACATGCAGAATTGGCAGTGTTCTCCAGGAATTTGTTTGGAAACCACTGTTTTATTGTTTAACCCACCTGCTTAAAATGGTGAGATCCTGATTTGCCACTTGTCTTCTTTTAAAAAGAAAGACGCAGTTCCATTTTGTGTTGATTGTCATGTCTCTATGAATTTGGTAATTTTGTGATTAATGTTTGTTTATTAAGATGATTAGTTAGTTAGTTAATAGTTACTATCGTCAACCAAGGATTTTAGGATTTTTATTTCAGGAAACAAGCCTAATGTTACATTAATGATAAATAATTTAATAGTAAAACACCTAAAATGTTTGTCTAATATGGAAGGGTTATGCTAAACTAGCAGTATTCCACTGTATTCTATAGACAGGCATAGCCAATTGAGTTCTGAAAGAGCCAAATAGGCTTAACACACCTGTTTACTGTAGTAAAAACTTTACTTATTCTATATTCAACTTTATATATTCAAGTACATTTTCTGTTTCCCTGTATTAAATAAATAAACTGCCACATTTCTTATTAAATGACATACACACACACACACACACACACACACAGACACACAAAACGAACAGCACAGCACACTGATATCCGCTAATGCACCATCACATAGTCCAGCTGGTTAGAGAAAAATCGAATATATTTATTTATGTTTCTGTGTAGCGGCACAGTGGCTTAGTGGTTAGCACAGTCACCTCAAAGCAGCAAGAAGGTAGCTAGTTCGAGTCCCGGCTGGGTCGGTTGTTCTCCCAGTGTTGGTGTGGGTGTCCTCCAGGTGCTCTGGTTTCCCCCACAGTCCAAACACATGAGCTGTAGGGGAATTGAATACGCTGAATTGGCTGTATTGTATGAGTGTGTGTGTGAATGAGAGAGTGTATGGGTGTTTCCCAGTGTTGAGTTGCAGATGGAAGGGCATCCGCAGTAAAAATCATATGCTAGAATAGTTGGCGGTTCATTCCGCTGTGGTGACCCCTGATGAATAACGGACTAAGCTGAAGGAAAATGAATGAATGAACGGTGCATAGCAGCCAGTTACATGAGGCTCATTCAGTAAATGCACAGTTAAGCCAGTGTGTTTCAAGTCTAAGACACCAAAACTGTCCAACTTAAAACCAAACCCTACACTATAAGCTGCTTTAAACAGTTTCTAACAGTATTATTTACACTGCGAAAGGGAAAAGCAACAAAGAAACCTCCGTCTATTAATGTAACTCATCTGATGAAGCCAATCAGTGTGAAACTTAACAGTAAGCCATGAGGCTAAAGCTAATTTTACACACTAGTGTATAGTTCAGCATGCCAGCTCATGTACACAACAGCCACTTTATACCAAATCAAGAGTCTTGCAGCATTCATTTACACTTCAGAACAAAAGCTGCTCTTCGGGGCTCAAAATTAAAGCAACATACACACTAGGGTTACCACTAGAGAGGGGAAGTTCGGATCATTTTACTGACTTGGATCTTTGGGCCCTATCATACACCCGGCGCAGTGTGGTGCAAGGTGCGGCACAATAGACTTTTGCTAGTTTCAGCTTGGCGCAAGAGTCGTTTTGAGGCGTTGCGCTACGCTTTTTTAATAGCAAGTGCATTAGCGCTCATTTGTGCGCTCATAGGCGTTCTGGTCTAAAAAGGAAGGCGTTCTGAGGCGGACCCTGGCGCGTTGCTATTTTGAGAAACTAAAATAGATTTTTTATTAGACCAAAACAAACCCGGTCTAAACTCCAGCGCAGAGTTGCGCCTCGCTTACACA